GAGTTGCAGGGGAGGTGCGGGAGGGGACAAAGTTTTATATATATATATATATATATACATATATATATATGTCTATATTGGCCTTTCACTGCTTTGATTCAGGCTTTGTTCTAACCAGCTGTGTCTTGTCAAATATTTGTTATAGGATAAATTGCATCTTTAAACCGTATGTGTTTTTGACCAAAATAATGAATAAATTTTAATAATAAATTGAATTTCTTGATTATTGGTGTTTTCTATTATGTGCCCTTAGGGCGTGAGATAAACAGACAAAATACAAGGGATGGATACACTTCAAATTTTAAACATTAAACGTTATCATTCATCTCAAATTTAGAAAATTTTAAGACCAAAATAATGAATAAATTTTAAAAATAAATTGAATTTCTTGATTATTGGTGTTTTCTATTATGTGCCCTTAGGGCGTGAGATAAACAGACAAAATACAAGGGGTGGATACACTTCAAATTTTAAACATTAAACGTTATCATTCATCTCAAATTTAGAAAATTTTAATGAAAAAATTTTAAACTTTTTTCAAATAATTAGCACCTTGATCCATCTCTTGTCAATTGCCCTAAAGATATAGAATAGAATAACCCTTGATTATGATTCCATTATCTACGTGAAAATGAATACTACATTCCATACATATTGAAGCAAAAAGATAGAGATGGCAATTTGTTCGAAGTTTTGATAGGTTATTCATGCTCAAGTGACTTTGGGTTGGATGGATATTTTAATTTTGAGATTGAGTTTGAAATGAGATTAATCTCATTTTATGCATGTCAATGGATCTGATCTTATCCAGATCTAACTCAGATCTAATGTACTTAGATAGGGTTTGAATTTAATTTCTCAAATCCAAATTTCACCAAGACCTAGACCCTGTAAAAGAATTATGGGTATGAATATGGTCTAATTTTCTATGATTCATATTCAAATTCAAACCTATATCAGACCCTACTCAGATCCATGTATGTATAATTAAATTAATATGTATATCACTGGGAATGCTCTGCATTTGCCTCTTAAGAGCTGAAGTCGCCAAAGTCTTGCTGCAAAAGGAGGTGGCGAAGATGGGCTATTAATGGTTTCTGAGGAGGTAGGTCTGTTTCTTGAAGAGATCATTTGGGGTTGGCTGGTTTTGCAGGATGATGGCTCTAAGGTGATAGAGGAAGTTTTAAAGTTTACGAGGTGTGTCAGAGAGAGGAGGCTTGAGGAGGTCGACTGGGCTGGGTTGATTTGGTTTATGGTGGAAAGAGAGTTGTCAAAAGGGCAGGATTTGGTCAATTGTTATTATGGTTCTCATATGCAAATTTTGTTGAAGATGTTGAGAACTTTATTGGCGAGGAAGCACATTTGCTAGATGTGCTTGTTGACAATGTTTTGGGCGAGGAATCAAATTTGCTAGAATGTTTTGGGCGAGGAACCACATTTTTTTTTTTTTTTTGCATTTATATTTTATAGTACATTTGCTTGTTATTTTCTTGTCTTCAATCACGAATTTCCTTCGAAAGAATCTCAATCAACTAGGAGTGATGCGGGCATCCATGCGAACACCAAGGATGTGGTGATACCTACCGGACCAATTACTAGAGCTCGTGCCAAGCGAATGAAGGAGCAATTGAATATCTTGGTACGCGTGGTACGAGAAGCTAAGGAAGGAAGTTCGGTCTTTGAAGATGGTTCGGGGTACGTGATTCTACTCCAACTAGAGGACCAAGTCCCTTGACACAAGGCATTTCAAGTTACAAGATGCACCAAGCTTCGCAAGTTTCAAGTTAATCAGTTTTTTCGTTTTCAATTAGTAGAATAAAGCAAGTGGCTTAAGTGTTGTGGTCCTTGCCATTTTTAGTCATTATTTACCTTATTTTAGTTATTAGTTTTTGGCCATATTTAGTTAGTAGATTCAGCCATGATGGGCCATAGTTGGGCCGATTTCTAGTTTCCAAGCTTCATTAGGATTTGAGTTGTAAGAATCTATAAATAAGCTGCAAACCTATAACACCAAGCAGATTTTGATTCATTAATAAAATTGAGAGAATTCTCTTGGCTTCTTGCAAGCACTCCTTGAACATCTTAGATAGTTTTCTAAGAAGTCCAACTTGGCTTATCAAACAAGAAACGCACTTGTTTGTGGCGCCATCCTATCAAAATTTCTTGGTTCGCTAATTCGTTAAGTCGCGGGTTGACATCGTATCAAGAGTGTTCGCAATTTAGAGGATTAGATTGGGTCGAATGGGATTCCGCCAACCAAACCTGGAAAATTCTCTATCAAGATCGTGGGTTTCGCGAGGATGAATTTCACCGTCACGGAGGAATTCGCATCAAGGAGTCTGCAAATATGGTTCATTTTGGGTTGAGATGAATTGGAGATTTTCAAGTAATGGTGGAATAGTTTTTGTGTATTTTGATGAATATTTAACTAAAGATATGCACTATTAGTCTCTCAAATTTCTGATCAAGTTGATTTTTCATTTTTTCCCTTTAAAAATTGGACATGTCATGTGAGCCCAGTAAGTTCCGGCTAAAATCTGCTTGGAAAAGTGAAAAGGGATCAAAGGTAATCACTTTGTTTGCTAGGGACTAAAACTGATCATTTTGATTCTGAGAGACTAAATTTTCATATTAATAATATGTGAGGGACGATTGGTGCAATTCTCTCTTAGAAAATACAGCGGAAGGTCTATGTTTGGACTTACATTTTTAGACCCATAAAAATTTGGGTATGGGTTTAAGTCCAACTAAATTTAATGGGTCTGGATTTGGATCAAAAGGATCCAATTCAAACCCTACCCATTGACATGCTTAATTCTATTTATACCTATTAATTGATGAAAACTTTTGGAAAATACTTGGGTACTTATTGGGACCCAAAGATCTCACCAAAAATTTATCCTATCAATTGTTGTATATTTTTTTAATGATTCAAGTGAATCATTTTTATTCTTCTAGCTAAATCCTGCAGTTTTTCCTTGTAATTATGCTTAAAACCCCTATCTAGTTTCCTGAACTCTTTTTCCCCTTAGAGAATTTTTCCCTTTTTTAGTAAAAATTCTGTCGCCAAAAAAAATGTCGAAAGAAACTTTTTGGTTTGAAATGGAAACTCAATGATTGCACAGTTAGGCTGAAGAAGGCCTAAAAGGGGTTGGTGAGGGCTCTTTTAGGCCTGTAAATATTGTTTGCAATGGTATTTTTAAGAGTTTTTATAAAAAAATATATACTGTAATGATTCGATGTATATAAGATAAAAAAGTAATTATAAAATGTGTTCATGGAAAACGTAAAATTTTTTTTTTGTGAAAAATCGCAATCCAAACAAGGTTTATGATGGCTCATAATTTGCGGTCTTATTAAAAATACTTTGTCCAATTTTGGTAGTTTTATGATGGCTCGTAGTTTCAAACGCCATTTCCTTATACTCATAAATACAAGTCCTTTTAAGTTTTTATAAGACTTATTTTTTCCTCAACTAAAATTTAGCAACATTGGAATTCAAAAATTCAAAAAATATATACATAGAAAATAAATAAAAGAAAATTTAAGGGAAAAAAGAATTCTGGAAAATATAAATTCACAAGAAGACTAAAAGAAATTTAATAAATAAAAAATATTAAATCATATAAACTAAAAAAAGAATTAAAGGAAAAAAAATACAGGAAATGGACTTGGGTATTGGGCGGGATCAATCTAAACCATCCCAAAGTGATCCTATCCAACTTAGTTCCAAAATACATATGGGTAAGATTGGGTCTAAACCCATATTACTCGATTCCATTTCAAATCTAAACAAATCCCGCCCATATTGCCACCTCTACAAAAGAATAAAAAAAAGCAAAAAAATCAATAGCCTACCAATGACCCTATTTACCCCTCTCCTGCTCACCAACCAACTAGAAACAACCAAGTTCACAGGTATGGTTCCTTTTTTTTCTTTTTTTTGGGTGTCAAAATACAATCTCCTCTACTTGAGGCAGCAATTTCAAGAATTGCATTTGTTGACTAAGGCTATTAACCCCTAATTTATTCCATTGCCTTTATGGTTTCTTTTTTTGCTTCTTTCAGTCAAACCAAGATCCCAACATGAAAAGTGGAAAGAATTTATAAACAAGTAAAGGAAATATATAGGCAAAATGGAGATATGGGAATTGTGAGAACCCGAAAATTATTTTAAATTTTCTCTTATTTTTGGAAAATTAATTTATATTTCCTTTTAATTTTACTTTACTTACTTATTTGCTTGCCTTAATTTTTCAGATATTTTTATAAGTGAGTCAAGTTTTTAAACTATTTTTCTTGTATAAGTTAGTGCAGGATAAGTTCGTAGTGCATTATGGAAGTAGGACCCACTAGTAAGGTGTGTGCGATAAATTTTTAAAGATTAAGAGGAGTTTTGTGTAAAGGAATATTATTTTATAAGGTGTTAAGGGATAATTAGAAGTTGGTTAGATATTTTAGCATTAGGAAGACAAAGAGATGAGGATTAACCTTGGAAGGCCATTTGTCACCAAAGCCTTGGAGCTTTGACTTTGACTACAACCATTCTTTGTGAAGATCTCAAAATTTCATTAATTTTTGAAAATTAAAATCAAAATATTATTTAAAAAATTAAAATCAAAATATTATTTAAATGTTGAAATTATTAAATAATATGTATTTATATTTAATAATGTGTATTTATATTATTAATGATGTTTTCACTTATAAAAATATTATATTTTAATTTACATGAATTTAAAAAAAAAAAATTTATTTGACGGTTCGCGTTCGACTAAGCATTAGGGTAAATTTTTGCGCACTGACGCGCGATGTAGCCCTTAGTTGAAATGTAGGATATGTAGAGGTTATAAAAATGTACAACTAAGCTGAGGATGTGTTAAATGGGGAATTCCTACCAGTAGATAAAATTCTCGCGCATAAACGCGATTCAATTCAAAATTTTCCCACCATTATTAGCATGCCCAAAAGTCAATTAGACTACTCCCTAGACTACCCCAATTTTCCTCCCATCTTGTCACCAGCTACCACCCTTTTCTTACCCCTCTAAACTTCCGCTCCTCTGCTGCAAGAAGAAGCAGAAACCGCTGCCTTCCAAGCTCCAACAGCCTCTCATCTTCAGCCACTCACACCCAGTCTTCAAGCTTCCATTTTCAGCTTCCACCTCCACTTCTTGCTGCTGTCCAGATCGAGCAAGAGGAAGGAGAGGATCGTTGTTGCTGCTGCTACTCTCGCTGCTCCTGCCGCTGCTACTACTGCTGGGTTGTTCGGACCAGGGTGAAGGAGAAAAACCAGCTTCCTATTTCTTCCTTCCACCAACCACAGAACCATCTCAAGCTCACCAAACAGAACCCCAGCCCTCTTCATCTTCAGTCGCTGCTGTGCTGCTGCGGTGACTGGCCAGACCGAGAGGGAAACAGAGAGCAAGAGAGCCGGCTGATCCTCTGTGGTTCTAGGAGCAACTTGAGGAACTAGACAATACATTTAGCTAGTAAACAACCCACTTGAAGGTAACAAACTCCAGCTTAGCACCTTAGCCAAAAATTTCAGATTTTGCAGCTTGTGGTTCTTGAAATGTTAACTTGCGTTGGTAAAACTTGTTGGGTTGCTGAACCTCTAAGCTAATGATTGATGAAGCTAGAGGTGTTTTATGTGTTTATATGTGTGTTTTGTGATGATGGTTTTATTGTTGAATTAGTGCTTAAGGAAGTAGATTAAAGGTGCATTATTGCTAGAAACTTCATTGAGCTCTTGAAGCAAAAAGTTCCGATTCTGTCCCTGCCAAGACCGACCTTTTTCATGCAAAATTCTGAGGTTTTAACGGCTTGTATTTGATGTTTATGTGTTTTTGGATTTGTGTGTAAAGTTTCATTGAAAGATATTGAGGTTTGGTTGACCAAAGGTGATGAATTCCAAAACCAGCAAAATCTGGAAATTTTTCCCGTATGGCTCAGGCAGCCATTTTGTTTCGATCATAACTCTGCCCTCCGACGTCGAAATTGAGTGCCGTTAGCGCCATTAGAAACTAGACTCTTCCAGCTTTCCAACGGTGTAAAATTCACGTCCTGGTTCCACCTGAGTGAACCGTGGCAGTCTTTTAAAGTCACCTGTCCTGCTCCACTGGTTCACTGGAAGCCAGGATATGAGCTGCGCTTTGTTGCCAGATTTCGAGCTAGTTATGAGTAGAATTTTAAAACGATTTCTTCTGAAAAATTGTATCCCTATGAGTGTAGTTTCCAACGCTACCAACCATGCTCAAATCTAAGTTGAATTGAATGAGATGTGACCAAAAAACGAAAACTGCTCTGCTGTTGAACCAAACTGTCCAAATTTTCCCAGTTTGTGTTCGAGTTTTTGATCTGATTCTTGACAAGAAATTGAGCTTCATGGATTGTGTAAATGTTAAGCTGAATGTCTATGGTCATTTGAGCGAAAATGCACCACTTTCGTAGTTGAAATGATGTTGAGGAATTGAAGGAAAAGGAAGGTATATGCTGTACAAAGATTCTGGAAATTTTTCAGATTTTAGTTGAATTTTGGGGGTCAATTTTGACAAATTTTTGAACTACTTGGGCTGTATACATGTTAACCTATATGGGTAGTATTGTTTGGGTGAAAATGTAGCTTTTGGGTAGTTGAAAAATTTTGGATAAATTGAAGGGGAAATGGACTACTTGCTACCGAATGCACCTGAAATTTTTCCAGCTTTGAATGATAATTGTGAACTGTTTTCACGATAACTTGAGCTCAAATGATTTGTGTATTAATTAAGGGGTTTGTATAGCTCAATTTGGGACAAAAATCTAGTAGAGGTTACGTCCAAAAAGTGGACCAAAATCTTATTCTTCAAGAAGATACCAAAACAGAATTTTTGTTTGAAATTAGAAATGGTTTGATGTTTGGATTTTATTGTGGGTAAATGTGGACCAAAGTTGTCCCGAAAATGTTTTCTAGCATTAACCGTTGTTACTAGGTCCATTTTGAGTTGATAACCTTGAATTTTACTAGACCAAATGCCCTATTTTGAGGAATTTGTCAAATCTGGAAATTTTCCTAAAAACTCAAGTTTTTGCCTTCATGAAAAACATTGGACTGAGTTGGTCGTGGAATTTGGCAAACTTAAGGAGTTTCTATTTTATAGAAATTCTAACGACTAGTTTTACTTGGTTTATATGATTGCCTCTTAAAGGAATTTCCCAAGATATGTTTGGGAAAAATTTGAGGGGAAAATTCCTCTAAATTGTTTAAATGTGATTTTTCTCAACTTGTGACACCAAATTGGTGTTAAATGGCTTATATGATTCTAGAATTTGGATGTTGGAATATTTGACGAATTTAGCAAGTGTTTGGGTTTTAAAGAAACCTCAAAATTTAATTTCACTCGATTTGTGGATTTCACTTTGAGAAAATGATTAATACTAGTTTGGGATTTTGAGTGAAATTAAATGCTAGTTGACTCGAGTTAAATTCGCCAACTCAAAAGTGGAAATTTATGTGAATTATTTGTATGATTCTAGGAGTTGGTGAAGAGCACAATCTCGATCAAAGATTGGAATTCTAGACACTTCACTTGAGGTGAGTGTCTCTTGCATGAATCGTGTTTAACTGCTAGTTGAACTACTTGTTAAAAGTACTTGCTAGAGATATCATGAAATGTTACATGCTATGTGATTGCGTGAAATATCACAAGTACAAGTGTTGCAATGTCGATTGGAGCGTGGTCTCGTCGACTAAATAAACCAAACGGATGCACGTACCACGCTCTATTGGAGTGGGAGGTACCTCTCTGCCGTCTTGGTAAAAGTGCTTGCAAAATTCGTGTTGGAGTCGGGCCCGAAAATAAGGGAGAAGACGTTGCTAGGAGATGTGTAGATTAGGGAAAATGTCTACATGGAGTTTAGGTAGTGAAAGTTGACGGAGTGTCAACTACTATAAATTTTCTGATCAAGTGCGTGGACTTTGGCTCCTGAGAGCCCCGTATCCTTTTCTTGTCATGTTATTTCGCTTTCTTAAATTGTTAAATGCTTACTTGTCTATTTGTACTTGTTAAATTGCCTTATGTGAATTGCATGTTTCGAGGCACCACTGAGCTATTGGCTCATCCCTTCCAAATTGTTTTCCTTGACAGGTTCTGAAACGCATGAAGTCTTGGACAACTAGAACAGAAATGTTATATTTTGAATGCCCACTTTTGTAATTGTATTTTTGGAAACGTTAGTATCTTTTGGATGATTTTTGTGTTTTTGGGAAAATGTGAATCTTGTGGTGCTTCTGTGCCCTGGATTAGGAACTTTAAATTGTAAATTAAGTTGAATTTAAGTATACTAAGCTCGACGTTTTCGTTGGTACCTGGAATTGTGTTTTGGGCTGTATAAGTTGAATTGTATGAATTATTTAAGTACGTGACTTGCTCGAGAAGTAAGGTTTATTCTCGATTTATATTTGGTGAAATTAGTTACTAGAGTGCGTGAGTCCTAGCGAGAGCTAGGCAGGCGACCCGCCAACCCTTTGGTTCGCCTTAGGGAGAAGTGGGGCCGCCACAGGTGGTATCAGAGCTTTAGGCTCCAAATCTCTGTAGTGTATCCTAGGCTTTAAAACTTAGGCTGCCGGACTGTGGTGTTAAGTGATTATTGGATAGAATATTGGGGACTAGAGTTTCCTCTATTATACGAAAAGAAAAGAATTGGGTGAGGTGATTTGAAAAGTAGTAGGTGAAATTCTTGAACAATAATACTAGTCGATATTTATCGGAACAAGTGTGACTAAGATAAACCCTAGAATTCGAGGTATCCTTTAAGGTTTTAATTTTATATATATATGGGTGTGAAATTGGGGAATGCTTCTTAGATTGACGATTTAAGTAAGAAATCCTGTGAACCATCTACGAGGTATAATGTGGATTGAGTCGATTTGCACTTGGAAATGGCCAGTCCCAGTGTGAATTGACTTGGTTCCTATTTGACTCCTAAGTTAGTTAGTGTATCTATTCTTTGAGTTTGAACTCGAAGCTTGAGGCTTTAATTGAGAAACCTATGGATCTTTTGTGAGCCAAACCCTCAGTTGGTCCTCGTCCTTGCTTATGCATGATATAATTACTTGTTTATTCACTATTTTCTGTGCTTATTTGGATTCGTAAGTGTAACATGACTTTGTATGTCTCTTTTGAAGATGGAATGCCCTTTTGTAGTGCACTTGTGTACCTCCTTTGTTATAAATTTATGAAATATGATCTTTGACTGCATTCAAAACTTCTATTTTATTAATAAATCGCCCTACGCTATTTTAAGTTCTGGTCCTCTATAAGAATTAAAGATGGTAGGAAGAGAGATTAGTAGCTTTCTATTGCCCAATTGGAGGAAGTTGCTCAAATCCTGGTAGGACATGATAGGAGCTAGGCGAGAATAGAGTTTAAGTTATGATAGAGGGATATGGACTTTAATTTCAAATAACCCTAGTAGGAGTTTTTCTTAAAAAGAGTATTTGGCTATGACCCTCTTCTAATGGTGATTAATACGTAAACACGAATTAAGAAAAGAGTGGGACGTGGTTCTCTAAGTTAACTAGGAGTGACGCTTTTGGGTTCCTGGTCAGTGTTGGGATGGAAGTATAAGGTTGTCAATAACTAGAGATTGAGAGTTGTATTGCTACTACAAGGCCCTAAGAGAGTAATTTCTGACTGTAGTCGGGAAGGCAGGGTTTTGAAGAGATTAGGATAATTCCTCTAATTGAAGATTGCTGAGAGATCTATTGGAATGTGAGGAGCAGGATTTTTCCCCTATCACGTTTTGGAGACGGATGTACAAGTGGGAATTAGATACGAACATGGGATCTTAGAAAAAGCATACGCATTAGCGTTTTAATCCGAGTGTAAATGATAGTAATGACAATTAAGGGTAAATACCAGAGTAGGAGTAGTGTTCTAGCACCTTTCTATGTCACCCTACCTGTGCTTAGATTACTTGTCTATCCGAGTAAAGAGTAGCTAAGGTCAACTTTCGGAGGTCAGTAAAACGAGGACATGGCGAGTTTGGGAGAGATGCTTAGAGAAATAGAGGCTCTTCAAGAGAAAGTGGAATTTCAGATGAAACTAATGGAATATTGGGAAGGACGATGGAAACAAGAGTTCGTGAAGAAGCTTGAATTGGATAAAAAGTACGTGGACATACAGAAGAAATACTATGAGGCGTTAGAGTTAATATATGACAAGTCCGAGGAAGTGTGTCCTCCTATCCCGATTGCGTCTCAAGGAGTGGTTAACAACCAAGGAAACGGGGGTGAAGGAAGCTCCAATGGTTCAAAAAGGAAGCGCAAGGGAAGTGACGGGGATTTAGTACCAATTTCCCTTTTGATTATTGTAAGAAACCAAACCACTCTGCCGACAACTGTTGGAAAAAGAACTATAAGTGCTTTAGTAGTAGAAGTTCTAAGCATTTGGTGTCTAGCTGCCCACACAAAGTAGAGAGGGTTGTGAAGGATCCTTGATATCTCATTTGAACCTCCTGTACACTTTGGTATTCTTGTAGGAACTTTGGTACTTAATCTATGACTCTTAGATTTAGTATCTGGTGTTAAGGTGAATTGGTCGAGTTAAGTGCTTAGTACGACTCGTCCCTGGGGAAAACTTAAGCAATGCTTCGTATATATTTTGTGATCGGTCCCGTGGACAGGTTTTAATCTATTACGGATATTCAAACTTCTAAGTTTTACATCTAATTCCTTTGGTCCGACCTGGACCCATTACCTAATCATTTGAATTAAATGGAAATTTTTTTTTTATTTTTTTTTACTTGTACTCCACCAACACTACGTATAATTCCAAATACTTGTTGTCCCTTTTTCCACAAGTAGATATATTCCTAATAACAGCGTTAATTTCAGAAGCAAAATTTTGTGGGGTTTAAGTGCATCCTTTTGACCAAATATTTACATGACCAACATTAAACATCTGCTAAATGTTGAGTCCATTTACAAATGTTGACGCTTTAGGACTAAAACCTAAATTTCGATAACTGCACGTTTAATTTTTTCCATCTCGACTCACCTTCGAACTAAAGAGAAAGAAAAACTTTCCCTTCCTTTTGACATATTTAGTACAAAACAGTTTTATTGGAAATTTGTAAACTCGATTGGTCAATTGTAAATTTGGACCACATTTTCTTACAAGTGTATTTAGTGTCAAAGGTCAATTTAATTATGATAATAATGTAAGAAGGCTTTTCCTCAACCAAATGAGATTTATAGTTAATAAGAATTTGAGGAAGGATTATTGTTAAAACCTCTTTCTTGTGTACGTCTCCCCTCCATATATATGTATATAAATCTACTCTTACTAGCTCAGTCTCAAATTGCAGAATTACTCTTCTTAAATTACTAGGGGAAAAAGGAAGTTTGAATTAATGATTTTGGTAAAAACATGGATTTTTGGGTCATGAAGAAAAGTCTGTACCTTTAACTCTGTTTGAAAAATTTAAAGTATATTTTTCCCCTGAAAATATCCGTTATGCACGAAAGCCTCAATTATCTTTCTCGAATCGTGACTGATGCATTTGGGATGAAATTCTCATTAGCCGTTTTTAGAGACAAAGAAACAAGGCTTGTACAAAGTTGCTTCTTCAGAAAATCGAGTGCTAATGAATGATTTCTTTGACCATTTTGAGTCCAGAGGGTTAGTAAGTCTTATTGGAAATATACCACTCTACTTTGGTTTGGAATTTATGACGGAATTTTAGTGCATGGAATTATGGGCTTGGGAAGCCTAAAATGAATTCTGGTGTATTTCAAGTACTTGGGCACAATAATGTCAGCTCCGTTATAAGACGTATTTTGGCTTAGGTTGAAAAAAAAAAAAGTTGACTTGAGGATCCTTTAAGATTCTTAAACCAATTAGTGAAGTAGTTTACCAGTTGAGCTTGCCTTTAAGTAGGGCTAGGAGTCTTAACGTTATCCTTGTGTCTCCGCTAAGAATATCACCCAGAATTTAGTCGTATGCTTTAACCAGAAGAGATAAAGGAGAGAAAAGATTCCAGAACCAACCATTATACCGTAGATTGAGGTTCTAAAACGAGTTGGAAAAGTGGCTTATTAAGTCGGATTTACCTTCAAGTATGGACAAGGTCCATAACATCTTCCATATATCTATGCTTAAGAAATATCATCTCGATCCAAGTCATGTTATTTATTTAGATGAGATTGAAGTGGACGAATCCCTATAATATGAAAGCATTCGATTAAGGTTTTGGATTGTGAAAATAAAGAATTGAGGAATAAGAAGATTGCTTTAGTTAAGGTCTTGTGGAGAAATCACGATGTCGAGGAGGCAACTTGGGAGGTAGAGAAAGACATGAAGGACCAATACCCAGAGTTATTCACTTGAACAGGTAAGAATTTTGAGGACAAAATTCTTTTAAGGGGGGAAGGATGTGAGGATCTCAAAATTTCATTAATTTTTGAAAATTAAAATCAAAATATTATTTAAATGTTGAAATTATTAAATAATATGTATTTATATTTAATAATGTGTATTTATATTATTAATGATGTTTTCACTTATAAAAATATTATATTTTAATTTACATGAATTTAAAAAAAAAAATTTATTTGACGGTTCGCGTTCGACTAAGCATTAGGGTAAATTTTTGCGGACTGACGCGCGATGTAGCCCTAAGTTGAAATGTAGGATATGTAGAGGTTATAAAAATGTACAACTAAGCTGAGGATGTGTTAAATGGAGAATTCCTACCAGTAGATAAAATTCTCGCGCATAAACGCGATTCAATTCAAAATTTTCCCACCATTATTACCATGCCCAAAAGTCAATTAGACTACTCCCTAGACTACCCCAATTTTCCTCCCATCTTGTCACCAGCTACCACCCTTTTCTTACCCCTCTAAACTTCCGCTCCTCTGCTGCAAGAAGAAGCAGAAACCGCTGCCTTCCAAGCTCCAACAGCCTCTCATCTTTAGCCACTCACACCTAGTCTTCAAGCTTCCATTTTCAGCTTCCACCTCCACTTCTTGCTGCTGTCCAGATCGAGCAAGAGGAAGGAGAGGATCGTTGTTGCTGCTGCTACTCTCGCTGCTCCTGCCGCTGCTACTACTGCTGGGTTGTTCGGACCAGGGTGAAGGAGAAAAACCAGCTTCCTATTTCTTCCTTCCACCAACCACAGAACCATCTCAAGCTCACCAAACAGAACCCCAGCCCTCTTCATCTTCAGTCGCTGCTGTGCTGTTGCGGTGACTGGCCAGACCGAGAGGGAAACAGAGAGCAAGAGAGCCGGCTGATCCTCTGTGGATCTAGGAGCAACTTGAGGAACTAGACAATACATTTAGCTAGTAAACAACCCACTTGAAGGTAACAAACTCCAGCTTAGCACCTTAGCCAAAAATTTCAGATTTTGCAGCTTGTGGTTCTTGAAATGTTAACTTGCGTTGGTAAAACTTGTTGGGTTGCTGAACCTCTAAGCTTGTGAGGACTCGCAAATTTCTTGTATTTTTCTCAAAAATACCCTTTTATTTGAAAATTATTATTTGTCAAAGCCCACTACCCAATTATTTCACAATAAGTGTAAGTAAACCTAGAGAATAGGGTTTTACGCTTCGGTTTTAAGTTTGGAGCAAAATTAGGGTTTTCGCGATTTTTCGCCGGATGAATTTTCGGTACAGAGTAAGGATTAAATTTGAGGATTAAAAGTGACTTTTAAGTGAGAAATAATATGTGATTGGTAGCAATGATATAAGGTTAGTGAGTGGGAAGTAAAAACCCTAGTACGTGAGTTTTTAAGAAAAACGGTGCGAACCGGCGGGTCCCGCGCACTACTGATTGAACGCACCACTTGACCACCACTTTCTTACCCTACAAGTTCATTGATACTTGAGCAAAATATTTTCTTATATTACAGCTAAGGCTGACCAAAACTAGTGGCTAGAAAAGAAGGAAAAGAAAGAGAAAAAAAAGAAAGGTGGTGGTGGCGACAAGTGTCGCCACCTAAGAGCATCTTGACCAAGACACTTTGGCTTCTTACTTAACCAATTTTTTCACCTTTCCTCTCCATATTTCTGCTGCTGGCCGAACCAAAGAGTGTGAGAAAGTGAGAGCAAGAAAAAAAAACATTCCATCTTCTTGATTTGCTACAACTAAGTGAGGAATTCCAATTCCAAACCGATTAAAGTGGAGGTTGTGAGTTGGGAAGCTTGAGGAACTAAGAAATTTCAAAGGGAGTGAACTATCACTCATCCAAGTCTTGCTTTAGAGGTACAAATCTGGTCATGATCCTTGTTGCTTAAATTTTGGGTTTAAGATGATTTTTAGCTTAAGTTTTGGCTTAATTTCATGATTATGCAAGTGGTTGTTATGAATTTTGGGATGAATAAGCAAGCTAGGGTTTCATAGCTCTCTGCCTAAACTTGTTGTATGATTGTAAATGTTGTAATTAAGGTTATATAAGGTTGTTTGGTGGTGATTAGAACCAGAAATTTGAGAAAATTCCACTAGAAACTGAAAATTTCAGAATTCTGGAAAATTGTTCTTCTATTCTGTCCGGTTTTGTAGCCCTATGTTAGAGGCCGAATTGGCCTTAGGTCAAAGAAGGAAAGTTGTATAGAATGGTATTTTATAGGTGCCTACAAAATTTCAGCTCAATCGGAGCAACGTAGGACATGAAAAGTCCAAAATACCCTTACTATTTTAAGTATTTCCCAAGCAGTCCGTGTGATCAGTTAAGTCCAGTTTATCACGTTTTTCGACTAGGATCCATTCTGATTTAGCTTTTTGCCAAAACATGAAAGTTGTAGTATTCTGAATTAGCTTTCAAATGCCTCTAAGAACACCTGATTCGGACTTGTGTACTCTGAGATATGTCCATTACAGTGTTCTGCGTTTAAACAGCCGACGAATTGGTTTCTGGTTTAGTAATTTGAGAATTTGACTAAGTTACATTAGGAACTGGACTAAGTGACCTTCATGAATGTTGTAGCTCTATGTCTTAGCTTCGAAACGGCATAGGTTTCGTCTCAATCCGATAAGCGTAGCTTCGGATATGTTATTTCCGCATTCGTACGTCAAATCTGTCTTGTGCTAAGTTGAATTTCTGCACTTGTGATTGTTGTAATTCTTATTCTTATGATATTGTGAGCCTATGGAACGGCTCTTGACTTGAATTGCTTATGTGTGATGTTGGGTTGTGGTTGAGGAAAATAATGAAGCCAAAATGGCTGGAAAATTAGGTAAACACAAAGGGCGTGCTGCCCAAATTTTCGCTCGAGGGCTAGGTTTCTATTTGAACTTGTATACTTTTGTTTGGCCAATACCATGACCGGTTTTCCATTTTAAAACATGATTGTTCATCCTGGGGTTCAAACAACCCTCTTCTTACTTGAAAGTCATCTTTACCCGTTTTACTCCTAATTAGTCGGGTTTCTTTGTTTCCCTTAAATGTTTTGCTCGATAAACTGTAATATGTTCTCTTGTTCAACCTTAGGTTTCATTGGTGACTAAGGGTAATATCCGGAAGGATATTTTGCACGTTATTTTGTATATCTAGGTGAGTGTTCCTTATTTGACTTTATGACTTGTTGTTATCATTTGCTAATGTGTTAATTGCTTTTAATGATTTCCAAAACGAGCTTTCTAGGCGAGTGTGTACTTTATCGCACTCGACCTAAATAACTGTGCAATTTTCAAGGATTTAATGATTGAAATGTTACTTGCGCATGAATGTAAGCCTTTTGGGCTGAACTGGCCATTGCCCCTTGTTACCGGTCGTCTCGAGCCAGAAGCGGACTCGGTCGGGCGATTAGGGACTTGGGTGAATGTTTGGTATACTTGAGTATTACCCTGTAGGTTGGTGGAGACTGGCCAACGGCCAGGACGGGGGTGAATGAATGAACGAACGAACGAACGAACGAATGAGGGTTTATTGATAAATGAAAAATGCATTTTCAAATGATTGGAGGAATAAGGGGAAATGTCAGGAGAACGAATGAATGAATGAACGAATTGCTCCTTGTGAGCCGTATCCTTTTAATGAATGTTACTATTGCTTTCCATTGTAAATGTTTCTTGAATTATTGATACTCCATGTTTAATGTATTGAATTGATTGTTTGATTGTTTGATTATCTGTTTGGAACCTCACTGAGCTTTTAGCTCACCCCTTTAGTTTTGTTTTCCTTAGCAGGGGACGGCGAGCAGGATGAGAGCATAGACTAGCCTAGTCTAGGTCTTTTGTTTCTTTTGTAATGGTTCTCGCCCTAGTGCTTGGCACGGGCTGGACGTATGAAGGATTGAGAACCCTTGTATATTTGATGTTTATATTCTCTTTTGGGTTGGCAATGTATATAAGTTCCGCTTTAAGTTTGGATCAATGCCCTATTTATTCTTGTGATTTATTTCAATTTTTAATTGAGGACTGTAGCGAACGACTGAGTCCCGGCGAGAGCTGGGCAGGCGGCCCGCCGAACCCTCTGGTACGCCTTAGGGGGAGGTGGGGTCGTTACAAAGCTAATGATTGATGAAGCTAGAGGTGTTTTATGTGTTTATATGTGTGTTTTGTGATGATGGTTTTATTGTTGAATTAGTGCTTAAGGAAGTAGATTAAAGGTGCATTATTGCTAGAAACTTCATTGAGCCCTTAAAGCAAAAAGTTCCGATTCTGTCCCAGCCAAGACCAACCTTTTTCATGCAAAATTCTGAGGTTTTAACGGCTTGTATTTGATGTTTATGTGTTTTTGGATTTGTGTGTAAAGTTTCATTGAAAGATATTGAGGTTTGGTTGACCAAAGGTGATGAATTCCAAAACCAGCAAAATCTGGAAATTTTTCCCGTATGGCTCAGGCAGCCATTTTGTTTCGATCATAACTCTGCCCTCCGATGTTGAAATTGAGTGCCATTAGCGCCATTAGAAACTAGACTCTTCCAGCTTTCCAACGGTGCAAAATTCACGTCCTGGTTCCACCTGAGTGAACCGTGGCAGTCTTTTAAAGTCACCTGTCCTGCTCCACTGGTTCACTGGAAGCCAGGATATGAGCTGCGCTTTGTTGCCAGATTTTGAGCTAGTTATGAGTAGAATTTTAAAACGATTTCTTCTGAAAAAATTGTATCCCTATGAGTGTAGTTTCCAACGCTACCAACCATGCTCAAATCTAAGTTGAATTGAATGAGATGTGACCAAAAAACGAAAACTGCTCTGCTGTTGAACCAAACTGTCCAAATTTTCCCAGTTTGTGTTCGAGTTTTTGATCTGATTCTTGACAAGAAATTGAGCTTCATGGATTGTGTAAATGTTAAGCTGAATGTATATGGTCATTTGAGCGAAAATGCACCACTTTCGTAGTTGAAATGATGTTGAGGAATTGAAGGAAAAAGGAAGGTATATGCTGTACAAAGATTCTGGAAATTTTTCAGATTTTAGTTGAATTTGACAAATTTTTGAACTACTTGGGCTGTATACATGTTAACCTATATGGGTAGTATTGTTTGGGTGAAAATGTAGCTTTTGGGTAGTTGAAAAATTTTGGATAAATTGAAGGGGAAATGGACTACTTGCTACCGAATGCACCTGAAATTTTTCCAGCTTTGAATGATAATTGTGAACTGTTTTCACGATAACTTGAGCTCAAATGATTTGTGTATTAATTAAGGGGTTTGTATAGCTCAATTTGGGACAAAAATCTAGTAGAGGTTACGTCCAAAAAGTGGACCAAAATCTTATTCTTCAAGAAGATACCAAAACAGAATTTTTGTTTGAAATTAGAAATGGTTTGATGTTTGGATTTTATTGTGGGTAAATGTGGACCAAAGTTGTCCCGAAAATGTTTTCTAGCATTAACCGTTGTTACTAGGTCCATTTTGAGTTGATAACCTTGAATTTTACTAGACCAAATGCCCTATTTTGAGGAATTTGTCAAATCTGGAAATTTTCCTAAAAACTCAAGTTTTTGCCTTCATGAAAAACATTGGACTGAGTTGGTCGTGGAATTTGGCAAACTTAAGGAGTTTCTATTTTATAGAAATTCTAACGACTAGTTTTACTTGGTTTATATGATTGCCTCTTAAAGGAATTTCCCAAGATATGTTTGGGAAAAATTTGAGGGGAAAATTCCTCTAAATTGTTTAAATGTGATTTTTCTCAACTTGTGACACCAAATTGGTGTTAAATGGCTTATATGATTCTAGAATTTGGATGTTGGAATATTTGACGAATTTAGCAAGTGTTTGGGTTTTAAAGAAACCTCAAAATTTAATTTCACTCGATTTGTGGATTTCACTTTGAGAAAATGATTAATACTAGTTTGGGATTTTGAGTGAAATTAAATGCTAGTTGACTCGAGTTAAATTCGCCAACTCAAAAGTGGAAATTTATGTGAATTATTTGTATGATTCTAGGAGTTGGTGAAGAGCACAATCTCGATCAAAGATTGGAATTCTAGACACTTCACTTGAGGTGAGTGTCTCTTGCATGAATCGTGTTTAACTGCTAGTTGAACTACTTGTTAAAAGTACTTGCTAGAGATATCATGAAATGTTACATGCTATGTGATTGCGTGAAATATCACAAGTACAAGTGTTGCAATGTCGATTGGAGCGTGGTCTCGTCGACTAAATAAACCAAACGGATGCACGTACCACGCTCTATTGGAGTGGGAGGTACCTCTCTGCCGTCTTGGTAAAAGTGCTTGCAAAATTCGTGTTGGAGTCGGGCCCGAAAATAAGGGAGAAGACGTTGCTAGGAGATGTGTAGATTAGGGAAAATGTCTACATGGAGTTTAGGTAGTGAAAGTTGACGGAGTGTCAACTACTATAAATTTTCTGATCAAGTGCGTGGACTTTGGCTCCTGAGAGCCCCGTATCCTTTTCTTGTCATGTTATTTCGCTTTCTTAAATTGTTAAATGCTTACTTGTCTATTTGTACTTGTTAAATTGCCTTATGTGAATTGCATGTTTCGAGGCACCACTGAGCTATTGGCTCATCCCTTCCAAATTGTTTTCCTTGACAGGTTCTGAAACGCATGAAGTCTTGGACAACTAGAACAGAAATGTTATATTTTGAATGCCCACTTTTGTAATTGTATTTTTGGAAACGTTAGTATCTTTTGGATGATTTTTGTGTTTTTGGGAAAATGTGAATCTTGTGGTGCTTCTGTGCCCTGGATTAGGAACTTTAAATTGTAAATTAAGTTGAATTTAAGTATACTAAGCTCGACGTTTTCGTTGGTACCTGGAATTGTGTTTTGGGCTGTATAAGTTGAATTGTATGAATTATTTAAGTACGTGACTTGCTCGAGAAGTAAGGTTTATTCTCGATTTATATTTGGTGAAATTAGTTACTAGAGTGCGTGAGTCCTAGCGAGAGCTAGGCAGGCGACCCGCCAACCCTTTGGTTCGCCTTAGGGAGAAGTGGGGCCGCCACAGGTGGTATCAGAGCTTTAGGCTCCAAATCTCTGTAGTGTATCCTAGGCTTTAAAACTTAGGCTGCCGGACTGTGGTGTTAAGTGATTATTGGATAGAATATTGGGGACTAGAGTTTCCTCTATTATACGAAAAGAAAAGAATTGGGTGAGGTGATTTGAAAAGTAGTAGGTGAAATTCTTGAACAATAATACTAGTCGATATTTATCGGAACAAGTGTGACTAAGATAAACCCTAGAATTCGAGGTATCCTTTAAGGTTTTAATTTTATATATATATGGGTGTGAAATTGGGGAATGCTTCTTAGATTGACGATTTAAGTAAGAAATCCTGTGAACCATCTACGAGGTATAATGTGGATTGAGTCGATTTGCACTTGGAAATGGCCAGTCCCAGTGTGAATTGACTTGGTTCCTATTTGACTCCTAAGTTAGTTAGTGTATCTATTCTTTGAGTTTGAACTCGAAGCTTGAGGCTTTAATTGAGAAACCTATGGATCTTTTGTGAGCCAAACCCTCAGTTGGTCCTCGTCCTTGCTTATGCATGATATAATTACTTGTTTATTCACTATTTTCTGTGCTTATTTGGATTCGTAAGTGTAACATGACTTTGTATGTCTCTTTTGAAGATGGAATGCCCTTTTGTAGTGCACTTGTGTACCTCCTTTGTTATAAATTTATGAAATATGATCTTTGACTGCATTCAAAACTTCTATTTTATTAATAAATCGCCCTACGCTATTTTAAGTTCTGGTCCTCTATAAGAATTAAAGATGGTAGGAAGAGAGATTAGTAGCTTTCTATTGCCCAATTGGAGGAAGTTGCTCAAATCCTGGTAGGACATGATAGGAGCTAGGCGAGAATAGAGTTTAAGTTATGATAGAGGGATATGGACTTTAATTTCAAATAACCCTAGTAGGAGTTTTTCTTAAAAAGAGTATTTGGCTATGACCCTCTTCTAATGGTGATTAATACGTAAACACGAATTAAGAAAAGAGTGGGACGTGGTTCTCTAAGTTAACTAGGAGTGACGCTTTTGGGTTCCTGGTCAGTGTTGGGATGGAAGTATAAGGTTGTCAATAACTAGAGATTGAGAGTTGTATTGCTACTACAAGGCCCTAAGAGAGTAATTTCTGACTGTAGTCGGGAAGGCAGGGTTTTGAAGAGATTAGGATAATTCCTCTAATTGAAGATTGCTGAGAGATCTATTGGAATGTGAGGAGCAGGATTTTTCCCCTATCACGTTTTGGAGACGGATGTACAAGTGGGAATTAGATACGAACATGGGATCTTAGAAAAAGCATACGCATTAGCGTTTTAATCCGAGTGTAAATGATAGTAATGACAATTAAGGGCAAATACCAGAGTAGGAGTAGTGTTCTAGCACCTTTCTATGTCACCCTACCTGTGCTTAGATTACTTGTCTATCCGAGTAAAGAGTAGCTAAGGTCAACTTTCGGAGGTCAGTAAAACGAGGACATGGCGAGTTTGGGAGAGATGCTTAGAGAAATAGAGGCTCTTCAAGAGAAAGTGGAATTTCAGATGAAACTAATGGAATATTGGGAAGGACGATGGAAACAAGAGTTCGTGAAGAAGCTTGAATTGGATAAAAAGTACGTGGACATACAGAAGAAATACTATGAGGCGTTAGAGTTAATATATGACAAGTCCGAGGAAGTGTGTCCTCCTATCCCGATTGCGTCTCAAGGAGTGGTTAACAACCAAGGAAACGGGGGTGAAGGAAGCTCCAATGGTTCAAAAAGGAAGCGCAAGGGAAGTGACGGGGATTTAGTACCAATTTCCCTTTTGATTATTGTAAGAAACCAAACCACTCTGCCGACAACTGTTGGAAAAAGAACTATAAGTGCTTTAGTAGTAGAAGTTCTAAGCATTTGGTGTCTAGCTGCCCACACAAAGTAGAGAGGGTTGTGAAGGATCCTTGATATCTCATTTGAACCTCCTGTACACTTTGGTATTCTTGTAGGAACTTTGGTACTTAATCTATGACTCTTAGATTTAGTATCTGGTGTTAAGGTGAATTGGTCGAGTTAAGTGCTTAGTACGACTCGTCCCTGGGGAAAACTTAAGCAATGCTTCGTATATATTTTGTGATCGGTCCCGTGGACAGGTTTTAATCTATTATGGATATTCAAACTTCTAAGTTTTACATCTAATTCCTTTGGTCCGACCTGGACCCATTACCTAATCATTTGAATTAAATGGAAATTTTTTTTTTTATTTTTTTTTACTTGTACTCCACCAACACTACGTATAATTCCAAATACTTGTTGTCCCTTTTTCCACAAGTAGATATATTCCTAATAACAGCGTTAATTTCAGAAGCAAAATTTTGTGGGGTTTAAGTGCATCCTTTTGACCAAATATTTACATGACCAACATTAAACATCTGCTAAATGTTGAGTCCATTTACAAATGTTGACGCTTTAGGACTAAAACCTAAATTTCGATAACTGCACGTTTAATTTTTTCCATCTCGACTCACCTTCGAACTAAAGAGAAAGAAAAACTTTCCCTTCCTTTTGACATATTTAGTACAAAACAGTTTTATTGGAAATTTGTAAACTCGATTGGTCAATTGTAAATTTGGACCACATTTTCTTACAAGTGTATTTAGTGTCAAAGGTCAATTTAATTATGATAATAATGTAAGAAGGCTTTTCCTCAACCAAATGAGATTTATAGTTAATAAGAATTTGAGGAAGGATTATTGTTAAAACCTCTTTCTTGTGTACGTCTCCCCTCCATATATATGTATATAAATCTACTCTTACTAGCTCAGTCTCAAATTGCAGAATTACTCTTCTTAAATTACTAGGGGAAAAAGGAAGTTTGAATTAATGATTTTGGTAAAAACATGGATTTTTGGGTCATGAAGAAAAGTCTGTACCTTTAACTCTGTTTGAAAAATTTAAAGTATATTTTTACCCTGAAAATATCCGTTATGCACGAAAGCCTCAATTATCTTTCTCGAATCGTGACTGATGTATTTGGGATGAAATTCTCATTAGCCGTTTTTAGAGACAAAGAAACAAGGCTTGTACAAAGTTGCTTCTTCAGAAAATCGAGTGCTAATGAATGATTTCTTTGACCATTTTGAGTCCAGAGGGTTAGTAAGTCTTATTGGAAATATACCACTCTACTTTGGTTTGGAATTTATGACGAAATTTTAGTGCATGGAATCATGGGCTTGGGAAGCCTAAAATGAATTCTGGTGTATTTCAAGTACTTGGGCACAATAATGTCAGCTCCGTTATAAGACGTATTTTGGCTTAGGTTGAAAAAAACAAAAGTTGACTTGAGGATCCTTTAAGATTCTTAAACCAATTAGTGAAGTAGTTTACCAGTTGAGCTTGCCTTTAAGTAGGGCTAGGAGTCTTAACGTTATCCTTGTGTCTCCGCTAAGAATATCACCCAGAATTTAGTCGTATGCTTTAACCAGAAGAGATAAAGGAGAGAAAAGATTCCAGAACCAACCATTATACCGTAGATTGAGGTTCTAAAACGAGTTGGAAAAGTGGCTTATTAAGTCGGATTTACCTTCAAGTATGGACAAGGTCCATAACATCTTCCATATATCTATGCTTAAGAAATATCATCTCAATCCAAGTCATGTGATTTATTTAGATGAGATTGAAGTGGACGAATCCCTATAATATGAAAGCATTCGATTAAGGTTTTGGATTGTGAAATTAAAGAATTGAGGAATAAGAAGATTGCTTTAGTTAAGGTCTTGTGGAGAAATCACGATGTCGAGGAGGCAACTTGGGAGGTAGAGAAAGACATGAAGGACCAATACCCAGAGTTATTCACTTGAACAGGTAAGAATTTTGAGGACAAAATTCTTTTAAGGGGGGAAGGATGTGAGGATCTCAAAATTTCATTAATTTTTGAAAATTAAAATCAAAATATTATTTAAATGTTGAAATTATTAAATAATATGTATTTATATTTAATAATGTGTATTTATATTATTAATGATGTTTTCACTTATAAAAATATTATATTTTAATTTACATGAATTTAAAAAAAAAAATTTATTTGACGGTTCGCGTTCGACTAAGCATTAGGGTAAATTTTTGCGGACTGACGCGCGATGTAGCCCTAAGTTGAAATGTAGGATATGTAGAGGTTATAAAAATGTACAACTAAGCTGAGGATGTGTTAAATGGAGAATTCCTACCAGTAGATAAAATTCTCGCGCATAAACGCGATTCAATTCAAAATTTTCCCACCATTATTACCATGCCTAAAAGTCAATTAGACTACTCCCTAGACTACCCCAATTTTCCTCCCATCTTGTCACCAGCTACCACCCTTTTCTTACCCCTCTAAACTTCCGCTCCTCTGCTGCAAGAAGAAGTAGAAACCGCTGCCTTCCAAGCTCCAACAGCCTCTCATCTTTAGCCACTCACACCCAGTCTTCAAGCTTCCATTTTCAGCTTCCACCTCCACTTCTTGCTGCTGTCCAGATCGAGCAAGAGGAAGGAGAGGATCATTGTTGCTGCTGCTACTCTCGCTGCTCCTGCCGCTGCTACTACTGCTGGGTTGTTCGGACCAGGGTGAAGGAGAAAAACCAGCTTCCTATTTCTTCCT